TATACCGTAACGGCCGAGCGAGCACTGGATATATTTATTACTCTCTACAGAAATCTCGATAGTTACAAAAAGTTATTGTAAAATTTCGCGATCATCATCATGTCGTGGTGACAAATAAAGACCTGCTGCAAGAGCGATCATTGTCATCGGGTGACCAACTATCGCTTCCCGAAAATGGGCGATCTGCGCATACTCGATCCTCGCTTCGGCGCCGCCGATCACCACCTCAAGCACCATCATCGGCCCTGGCCCTCGGTCTATCGCAATCCCCATCCCGCTGCCAACCGGCCGCCCTCGATGTGCTACCGTCCGGTGCCACTGGACAATCTCGGCCCGTGGATGACTCCGATGCCGCCCCAACACCACCACCCGGCGGATTACGGCTACATGCGCAACGGCAACAAGGGCTCGAGCGACTATTACTATCTGACGCCGATGTATCATCGGAACGCCATGCCGACGCCGGTACCGATGCCGGCCGGAGCCATGTCGCCTCGCATGATCATGGACCATCAGCAGCAGCAACAGCAGCAACAGCATCATCATCATCCACAGCCGCATCCGAGGCAGCATCCGTCACGCCACAGAAGCACCAAGAGCTCGGGCTCGCCGGGCAGGATGAGCGGCGTGCCGTCCTGCACCTGTCACGTAGGCAGGACCAGGTCGCTGGAGGACGTGCGCAGCGAGGTGAGCGAGTGGGAGGACTACAGCGACATGAACGGCAACAGAGTGGCCCGATCGAGTCCCAAATCCAATGGAATGATGATGATGACGAAGAGCAGCAACGGCAGAAGATCGATGGAAAATTTGCTCGAAGCGGATAATTGCGGAGGCGACAAACCGCCCAGGTGCAACAGGGACGACAAGCCGAGGAGAGCTGGCAGTTACATGGTTGGTGTTCCGCACGTGCATTCGTTGCAAAACGACCCGCCCCATTATTGTAACTTTCCGAATACCTGTATAGAATAGAATTTATGAAATCATAACTATCTTCGTGACGGCACTACGAGTTCTACGAATATTGGGCAACCTCTATTATTGCATAAAAAAAATCTATTGTCGTTGCCGAACATTTCGTCGCCAGAACAATTATACAGAGGGACGATCTAGCGATAAGCGTGCGTTTCTTCATTCACGGAAACGAAAATAGGCTCGCTCGTGCGTGCGCACACAGAGGTGATTTTTTTAATTAACCCGCGAACGATATAGATCCGAGCGCGGAGTACCCCTCGGTATAACGCACGCGGCAATCATGTAGATCGTAATAATTGCAGGGAAAGTTGAAATTAGCCATATTTTAATGTTTTATATAGGACTCAATGAAAGTGACTCGGTGTGCGCGTTCTTTACTGCCCAGCTTCTCTCGCGGTGCATGAAATTTGCATTTCTAGTTACGAAAAAAAGAAAAAGAATTAGCTCGGGCAAGTTTAGGCGCAGCAGCGACAGCAGCTCTCTTATCGTACGAATTATCCAATCTGATAAAATAGAGACAAAAAGGCAATGTAGGTAAAACTGTGTTACAAGTTTGCTCCGGCACAAAGAAAATGTACATCGCGCCGCGCAAGTATAGTTTGTAATATGAAAATAAGCGCCTCGCAATTACGCCTCAAACTGCTTTAATTACAGCTGCTGTCACTGCGATTTTTTTTTTCAAGCTTCAATCTGATATATAGAAAACGAAAACTGGCCTATTAAAAAGTGCGTATACACGCAAGTCTCGCAACGAATCTCCGGTGTGAGTAAACGTTGCACCGGTCGTCTCTCGTGAAAAGTGAAATTTTTGGAATATAATCGCGCGCGAGCGACGAAAATAAACGCATCAGTGACGCGTCGTGCCTTTTTTCTCTCTCTCTCTCCTCGATACGCTTCGACGGGTGTATCATTATTGAAGGCCTGCGCACACCCGCGACTATATGATCCGCTGCCTGACGGATATATGGCCAGCAGCGTGCGCGAATTACGTCGTGGCATGTGCATCGATCGCAATTTAGAGAGAAAGGTGTATCGACGCGCGCGAGCCAATTCGGACTAAATTTTTTTTTCTTCATTGTCTATCTCTCTCTCTCTCTCTCTCTCTCTCTCTCTCTCTCGCTCTCTGAGTAATTCTTCGAGTTATTTTTTTGTGGAAGTCCGCCTGAACGGACTTTTCTCTTTATGCGAATGATATTTTTACTTTCACTCGCGGGCAGGACACGCGGCGGCAATGCGATTGATTGGGTGTACGACGAGTGAGTGTGTGCTTTATGATTTCGGTCTATATGTAGGCAATTAAATTCTCAATTATACGATCTCGAGCGTAATTCAGTTGTCAAGTAAGTACTTTTTGTTCCTCGTTTGCAGAGTTAATAGCTGCTGGCACTATTATACTAGTACGAATTGGTGGCTAGTTTGTTTTTGTAATAGGCCAATATAACGCAGTGTGAACAAAGCCAAAGATCTACTTTGAGAGTGAAAAAAACACAACAAGCGATAATCATAAAGTCTGCGGGACGGCTGCTGCCCGGCGCCAATTTTTGCAAATCATCGATTCTCACGATATACACGTCTTATGTAGTACTCCTAAGTCGAGCAATGAAAATCGTTGACCCGATTTGCAACTATGGATTTACGCATTCGACAAAGCCATCTTGCGGCTAAAACGTTTGTTTGCACGAAGAACTAGAATTACGGAGCGTTTGACTCAGGATTTTATTATTATATCGTACGCAAGAAGATTCAGGCTATTAGAATATATCTTTTGTAGCTTTGAGAGGTTCAAAGTCAAGATAAACATGATGTGCGATTTCAATCGAGTAATAATCTTTTGTCAATAGCGTATCCTTACGTTGTGCTTATAGAGAGTTCGAGGCTCGACTGCCGGCATTATTTTGCAATAGAATAACATCACGAGAGATTTATAATGACAAAATTTTGCGCAGGTGTGTGTATTCATTTGCTAACGTAAAGCTTTCATTTAATATTAAATAAACATCCGTTTTTAAACAATAAACATTTGTCCCTGAAATAAAATTTATGATTCATAGCCATTAAAATTAATTCAAATCAGAATAGAAAGTAAACAAGTACTTTTTACATCGATACTTTTTTACATAAATTATCCAACGAAGATTTCATTGCGATATTCCATTAAGCGAATTGCGGACGGATAATGTCTATGGTTTATTTCAATTTCGTGCAGGTTGCCGTTGTGTACTTGCCTCTTATAGTAGTAGTAACCTTCGTCGTAAAAAAATCATCGTAAATAAACCCAAATAAGCCATAAAATTACATGCACCTCCGCTTCTCTCTCGCTCTATACCGCAAAATTATATGCATATTAAAATATCGCTCTCGAGAATAATAGATTAATTAGTAGTTGACTATTTTTCTTTATCGCTTCGGCAATATATATTTTCACCCGTGCACAATTAAAATTAATCGGAAACTGCGCGCACCGCCAATTCAAATTTCTAAAACACTCGCATTATATATTATAATAAAACGAAAAAAAAAGGCGAGCAAAGTCAACTTTTACAACTTCAGCAATGGAAACAAAACGCGCGCATTGTGTACAAACTCGACTGTATCAAATTATCATTTACCGTTACGTTCTTTATAATCTTTTAAAAAAGTTGAAAAATATAATGGTACGTTTGCCGCGCGCCGATGCATCTATTGCTCTCTAACACGCGAGCAAAATCGCTCGTTCAAAACTTCATTTGGCTTTGTGTTTAGGTATATGGAAGTCGGAAGCAGAAAAAATCCGTTGCTACAGCGAATTTGCGCAAAAGTAAAAGCCTCGAAATATGTTTGACGAAAATAAAAAGGCGTTATGTCATTGAACGGCAGCTGTATACGAGCGATTCTTTATCTCGATCGCGCGGAGCCCGGCCCCGATTAGAAATCCGTAATGGTATTACGCGCTATTTTCTAATTACTCAATTTAATGCGTATTTGGGCACAATAAATGAAAATCCGCGGCTCTCGACGCACTTCCTACTAGAAAGTTTTCCAATTCATCGAGTCTTAAAAACCTTATCTAAATCATAAGTTTAATCCTTTAGCCGTCTCGAATGCATACAAATACGAAATATATAAATTGTATTTATATATTGTATATCATTGGAAAGGATCACTTCCTTCCTTCCTGATATAACATAACGTAATAAAAAGTAATATCGTATGATTTAATTCATTTCGACGCTGCGGATTATATACACACATAAACCTTTCCAATTGAATTTTTCTTCGTCGAATACGCAGGCAAAAGTAATGGGCGCACTTCTCATACACACACACGTGTGTCTGGTTAACTTTGCTAATGAATTAATCGATTTGAGACGCTCGTACGAGTGTAAAATTTTTATCCCACGCTAATTACACGCCTCGCGCGCACCTCTAATTTTCAGTACGTATGTGTGTGTATGCATTTCGCAATGCAACATAAACGTGTAAATTTATATACGAGCAAAATGAGTTATGAAATTTCATTGGTGAATATTTGAAGAACTTGGTACAAAGGGTAGATTCGCTCGCATGCCAAGGCTAAATATCATCTTGTTTGGTGATGTTATCTTTGTAGCAAGAAATCGTGTAATAGGCAACAATCGTTTCTCACGAGTGCAATTTTAGCTAATGTACAGATATAGCATTCGAATTGTCGGCTTGTTTGTTTTACTTCGCATTCGATTGAATTTTTAATATCGAATTTGTAAAATGATAACACATCTCGTTTCTTCATTTGTAGAATAATACGAAGGCTATAACTTTCTAATTGTGGAAAACTTGTGATTATTATCGAAAATCACGCATCCTCGGGAAGTTTCATATTGGTCAAGGACCTTCTGATTCTCTGATTAATTAAGAATAATTCTCGATGATTATTAATAATTTATCAGGATCTTTGAACCCGAATTTATTTAAATAATTTACAATTTATGAAATAAGAAATAAAAAAAATAATTACTTCTAAATAGATCGTCGATTGAAAATTAATTTGAAAATCGTTTCAATTTCAGCAGGAACCAAGGGCCGATCTTGACGTGAGCAACGGAAGCAGCGGCAACGGACGTCCACGCTTCGTCGCCGTCACAGCTCTGGAGGATGTGCAGGCGGTGCGCTGTGCCGAATTTCATCCGCAAGGCAAACTTTACGCGGTCGGCTCGAATTCCAAGACCCTGCGAATATGCGCCTACCCGAAATTACACGATGTTCGGTGAGTTCCTTATTTTAATTGACGTTGCAATTAGTAAATTTTGTGCTTGCAATGATCTGGAATAAAGAAAGCGACAGTATTCATCTACACATAGTTTGTATGTGTCAGTAAAATTGATGTTATTATAACGACGTAAAAAATACCAACGCTACAGAGTGTAGGATACATGCCTATTTGCACTGACACGCAGAAACTCCTTGTTAAGTATATTAGTTTCCACTGGAATAACTTCATAATGCAAGACAAACGTCAATTTTCCGTGTGAAATGACATCGTTAAATTATTTTCACTAGTCGTCACGCCAAGTGAGAACTAATCTTTTGCTCTTGTATCTGCACACCGACTTTAATAATTGCTGCCTTTCATGACGCGTACGCGAGGCTCGTTGTTGCGCTCACACAAAAAAATCATATTTATAAGCTCACTCGCTGTCAGCACGTATACTTACGAGGAGTAACAAAATATTTCATACGTTAATTATGGGCAGGTTGCGCGGGTGTACAAAGTGCTAGCGAGGCATTTAAATTTAAATCTCGGACGAGATTTCCATGGAAATTTTCTTTGGTCCGAATCTCATGTGTATACTTTTACAACAAGTAAGACAGAAAGAGAGGCCCCCTTGACAAACGGAGCGCACGAAATTGGATTCGTGCATCTAACCGCACGAACAACAAGCGAGTGCTTCCTGTACATGCCCATTCAGAATCTGCTGTAGTAGGTTATTTGAATGCGATGGGCATTTTAATTTTGCTTTGCACATAAGAGCTATTTCTTACAAATGTCTTAAACATTTCAACTAGGCATCAACATTTTTTCGTGACACTTGAAATTATTGCTTTTCAATGAAAATCAGATTGTTCATAAAGCTATGAGCATTTTACTTCCAAGAATATCTTATCTAAATCTCTGCTGAAACCTTATACAGCTGCTTTATAAGTTGTAAAAGTGAGAGTATTCAGACAAAATCAATGCACTTTATCAAATTCGGAGAAATTTACGTGAATTTTCAAATGACGTATCTCTGAGGCGTCGGAAACAGGAAAAATTTTGATTGTGTTCGTATAATTACATCGGCTTCAATTTTATATCAGTATCAATTCTATAATCTTATTTGTCACTATTGACGTGTATGACTTGAAAGAATGAAAGTAATTTTCGTGTGCGATTCGCTCTTGACAATAGGATGCAAGTTGGACGATTGTGTAAATGAAGTAACTAAATTCTCAGGTTGTTAGATGCAAAAAAGGATGGTATAAAGGTAGACAATACTTAAATTCGTTGGTGAGAAACAACGGTTAATTAAGATCGGGGCAATTCTCTCCTCTTCTATCTTACGCAGAGAAAGTTTCTTTATTCTTTTCGGATCTTTCATGTACATATAAATGAAAGTACTCTTTGTACCTCAATGCTCCCTCTTAACCGTGAATAATGTGTTTACAAGGGCCGCATAATGTTATTTTTTTAGGTATCAAGTTTGCATTTTTGCAACTATTTTCCGATCGACAATTATTCGATTAAAACGGCAATTATTACGAATTGATTTAAAAATGATACCCACTTCTGATTACTCTTCATAAATCAAATTTTATTGGTCGGATCTTATAGAAAATCGAAATTGCAATTTCTCGACTATGAGAACTGGGCTATGAAAGGATCGAGTCGAGCAACGAAAAATATCAAGGGCAGCCGAGCGTAAAACGAAGTGAATCCATTCGAGCGGAATTATGAGATATTACTTCATATCGAGCGCGAATATTTTTACAATGGGAAAATTTCCAATTAAAACGTTATATTTATATTTTATATTTTGTTTAAAATTGTGTATCGTATTAAAAGTACGCTTTGAAAAAATAAACCGTTTCACTGCAGCTTTGACATACATAAAAAGCCATACAAATTTCGATTTTTCATCAATATTAAAAAAGAATAGAATTCATTTAGAAGTGTTTAGTTGCTTCTAAGTTGTTTCAGTAACAGAGCGAACACAAAGTCTCCCCTGACTTCAATAAAGAATATAAGTAATATAGAAATCTTGAATCGTAATTAGTGTAATTGTTTTAAGATGGCGTGTATGATTTTGTAAGTTTTCCGCGATTGAAATAGGCAGCTTGTTCCAATAATACACTGATCGTTCGTGATCTATATCAAAGGCACACCCTTTTTTTTCTTTGTTTTTGATTTCCATGAAAATGCCACACACCCTCGATTAACGGAAAAACTGTAATTTCTGCAGCGAGGAGCATCAGACGTATCAACCGACGGTCCTGTTCAAGCGCACCAAGCACCACAAGGGCTCGATATACTGCCTGGCTTGGACGCCCGACGGTCAGCTCATGGCCACGGGCAGCAACGACAAGACCGTCAAGCTCATGCGCTTCAACGCCGACACGTCGAATCTCGAGGGCCAAGAGGTCGAGCTGACGATGCACGACGGCACCGTGCGCGATCTCTGCTTCCTCGAGGACACCTCCAACAAGTCCAGCCTGCTGATCTCGGGCGGCGCGGGCGACTGCAAGATCTACGTGACGGATTGCGCCACGGGCACGCCGTTCCAGGCGCTGAGCGGACACAGCGGCCACGTGCTCACCCTCTACAACTGGGGCGGCGCCATGTTCGTCAGCGGCTCGCAGGACAAGACGGTCAGATTCTGGGACCTGAGGACGAGGGGCTGCGTCAACATGATCACGCCCGCGACGGTGCCCGGCAGTAGGGTACGGTTTTCTCTCTTCGATCGATGGATAAAGTTCGTAAAATTGTTCGTAACGCGATCTTCGTGTCGTTCCGACAGGTCGGCAGCCCAGTGGCGGCTCTGTGCGTCGATCCTTCCGGCAGGCTGCTCGTCTCGGGCCACGAGGACAGCAGTTGCGTGCTGTTCGACATCAGGGGCGGTCGCACCGTCCAGTGCTTCAAGCCCCACTCGGCCGACATCAGGAGCATTCGATTCTCGCCCTCGGCCTACTATCTGCTCACGGGTGGCTACGACAACAAGCTCGTACTGACTGATCTGCAAGGTATAAAACGATCGTACATGGCATTGATAGCAAATAAATCCCAAAGACAAAGTTCGTAATGATCCTCTTTGCTTTTTTAGGTGATTTGACGATGCCCCTGCCGAGCGTCGTGGTGGCTCAGCATCAGGACAAGGTCACGTCGGGGCGCTGGCATCCGACCGAGTTCTCCTTCCTCAGTACCTCGGCCGACAAAACGGCTACCCTCTGGGCATTACCCCCTGTCTAAAGGATATCGTTTCAACGTAATTTTAGCGTCGTTGTTTTTTTTTTCTCTTTCATTCTTACATCACACCGATCGTCGAATATGAACAAGTATTTTTGAGAGCGTATCGCATTATGTTTTTTCCACGCGCGTCACAGAAAACCCTTTACATTTATAAATATGATAAAATATTATATATTATATACGTACATATGGATATATATGTAGATCTGAATATAATATTATATGTATACACCGACGGACAGTTGAACGGCTATATATAAAATGTATGCATATTAATACGTGTGACGAATAACCCGATTAGTTGATTGTGATAGTTTTCACGAAAAAGGCACATTTTCGCTGAAAAAAAAAACAAAATAAAAGAAACAAAATAAGGCAACAATTTTTGTACGACGAGCTTTGAAGAAAATGCATTTGCATAATAATTAATACTGTTGACAGAGGCGCCGAAGATTCGTTTTAGCTGAGAACGTATTTCGTTGAAGATATCCGTGAATGAATGTGCTGTTGCTGGATTTGAGAACATTTTTAATGGATGTTTACAAAATGATGTATTTTTAATAAAAAATTGATTTATCTGGTGCACTTTTCAGCTTGAAATATTGATAAATCATACCTCGATTCTAAATTCAATCACGCTGAATATTCACGTTTGTAAAATTCTAAAATAACCGCTTTACCAAGCTAACACATAATGATGTTCATAATCGGTTAATTTTTCTAACTATGTGTACGGAAAACGGAATGCTACGTTTATGATAATGCACAACGTAAAATATAATAAAAAAATGACATTATGATGCAATGATTTAAGTGACGAAAAATTGGAACATTTGCTCAGAAAATGTAAGAGAAAGCTGTTGCACTGAAAGAAATTTGTTACGTTGAAAAATTCTACGCATAATTCTTATAAAACCTCTGTACGTTTCTTAATGTAATGATTTTGTTTTATACTTTTCAAGAGTCGATGATAGTTGAATATTCATACAGAATGTAAATATGATATTAAACATTTAAACGTAGAGGACAACTTATACAAAAATAATTATTATTAACTAAAATATAAATGTATTAATGTACAGTTATGGCGTATTATATTATATATTATTATATTAATTAAAAAGAGCCTAATACAGAACTGATGCATCATAATGAGCATGATAATGAATGAGAGAATATTAACTAAGTCACTTTTTTTTGTTTAACCAATAACTAAGTATTTTTGCGATTCAAGTTAGTTATTATGTGTTCTTATATAAAATTAAGTATTTGTAAAATTAATTTGTTCAAGTACGTTGACCAAGTTTTTTGTTAGGAATCAATAACTCTTTGTTATCTAATGTAGAAACAAATTTATAAAAGTAAGGATTGTTCATTGAAGTTTGTATATCGAGAGAATATAGATGTCGGCATCTATAACATTTTTACGAGCTTTTTGGTAATTTTAAAATCACGATGATAAGTACGTTTTAATCTGTCGAGGAGCAGCTAATTCTATCTGCATAGTATATAACTTTATACTTTACCAGTTTTATAATAAATTTATGATTTAAAATCTTTATCATTTTCAAATATTAAATATTATGCTACTCATAAAGGATAAAGCGAAAAAAAAGAAAAAAATTAAACAGACGTAAACTTGGATGTACTCTATTTATGTATAATGGAATAATTATGAAATAGAAAGTAGATCTAAATATGTAAATTATATAAATGATTACTTTTAATTTACTAGCCTGCACTTATTGTCTCTTAAAGCCTTTTCAATTCAATTTAGTAAACTATACGCGTATCAAGGTGCAAGCAAAAATGTAAAAATCATAATTTAAGTATTATTCGATGTTAGAATGTTATCATTATGTACTTGATAGAAAATTTAATGTCAGCAAGTATGTAGAATGCTACAAAATGATATGCGAAAAAATGATCAAATTTCTAAAAGTTGAGTGAGCATCACTACCTGAATTGACGTAAATTTCAAAAGAATAAGATGATTAACGAGTAAACTCATCGATATTATAAAGAAATTTCATTTTTTATAACGTAATTGAGAAATATATAACTGTTCCCATTTTATATGTAACGATGAAAAACTTATCACCCGTTTTAAGAAGCAATTTGTCGTGCCTTCTGTTGTTGTAAACCCGCTTCTGACAAGTTGCATTTAGTTGCCTTGCATCTCTATAACTTATAATTCGTAGATTCACGATTAATGAATAGAACGTTAGAATCGATGTTACGATTGTTGTAAAAAATAATTAAAAAAAAATTCTTTTACTCACGTACCGCAGTGTACCCACCATTATCTCATCGACCAATTTTTGCTTTGAAGTTTTATCCCAGAGAGTACTACGTAGATGTGAAATAGAGAGGAGTCGAGGAAAAACTTCATAGTTGGTTATTTTGTTGTATCGAAGCAGATTTACATAGTTGTACTTTTTATAGTATTCAACTGCTCTTTCAAGACTTTTATTATTAATTGTAAACCGATTATCATGTATTATTATCGTCATGTTTAATTTTAAAAATAAAATTTGAGTTACTAAAACTATTAAACGTCCGATCTTCATTAATCGAAACCACACAAACCTCAACAAAAAATATATTATCCTCGTTCTTTTATGCAAATACGAAAATTAACATCGGGAAAAACGGCGTAGATTCAAACATCATCGCCGGTTTTAATGCTCGTCATACTTCGCTGCAGCTGCACTATTACGATGACGTACCATCATCATCAAACCCGTTTGTTTTCTGCAGACTGCAGAGTGTATATTTCCTATATCGCAGCAGCCGACAAAAACACATGACACTTGGACTCGCTCGCTGCGAACCGACGGGACGGCTCAGTTCACTCTTGCTTACATACACTCCCACGCGGCGCGACGACGTTTATCGTCTACTATATTTAATATTTAATGTTATAAATAGCGTTGTTGTGATTATATTCTGCACAGAGATTAAACACTTATCCAGTCTAGTGTATAATGCAGTAATTATTGATTAATCGTGATCGATTGACGTGCTTTACTCCGGTGGGTATTTCAAGTTTTCAACTTCAACATTCTATCAAAACAAAATATATTAATTTAATAATATTTATTAGAAATTCTATAAATTATTTTTAATTTAAGCGACTGCAGCTATGGCGCCGGGCATACTCGAAATCTTGACGCTAGTCGGCATAGCCGTTCTCGGTATTCACTATTACCTAACGTCTAATTTCGACTTCTGGAAAAAACGCGGCGTCGTCGGACCGCAACCGCAAGCTCTATTCGGCAATTTCAAGGACATCCTCTTTGGAAAAGCTCACATCGCTCTGCTGGTGAAAAAATTCTACGACGCCTACCCGGGTGAACCGATGATCGGCATGTTCGCGCCTCGGGGCAAGCCGATTCTCATCCTCAAGGATCCGGACTGCATCAAGGACGTCCTCATCAAGGACTTCAACGTGTTCTCGAATCGTGGCCTGTACGTTAACAAGGACAAGGATCCTCTCAATCAGAATCTGGTCAATCTCGAGCACGAGCGCTGGCGACCTCTGAGAAACAAACTGTCGCCGGCCTTCACCTCGGGCAAGCTGCGCGAGATGTTCTACCTGATGACCGACTGCGCCAATCACTTCGAGAGGTACATCGTGAAGAACGTCGTCGATCGCGGCACGATCGAGTGTCGCGAGCTCGCGGCCAAGTTCACCACCCAGTCGATCGGCGTCTGCGCCTTCGGACTCGACACCAAGTCGCTGGACGACGAGAACAGCGAGTTCCGCAAGTGCGGCCGCGAACTGTTCGAGACGAACTTCGCCAACGTGGCCAGGAGGACCCTGCAAGAATTCGTGCCGAAGATTTATGAATTGCTCGGGCCTTTCAAGTACAGCAGGGCAGTTTTGTTTTTCGCTCGATCGACCAAGGAGACGATAGATTATCGTAAAAAGAACGGAGTGCGGAGGAACGATTTCGTGGATATTTTGATGGATATACAAGCTCAGCCTGATAAGTTGAAAAATATCGGTACGTAATACCTTTTTTTAAATTGAAATTTTGATTATTCTATCAATATTTAAAATGAATAGATACCATTTGGAAGTGTCAATTCGGTTCACTTCGATGTGCAGTTAAAAATGTTACATACATTCTGTACCGGTTTTGTCTCCTTATAACATGTCTCCTTATAACTCTTATATTTTTTTCTCCTACTCGAGCTCATCAGTGTAAAAGTTTGCGTAACTTCAGATACCAAGTAAAATACAATGTCTCCTCCCCTTCCTTCTGTTATAAGGAAATCTCAAATCATAGTTAGCGCAATAGTTTCTAAATGGCGCGTATTTGATTTTGTGAGTTTTCTACAATTGAAACAAGTGACTTGTACTTATACAGCAAATCGTGATTTAATTTTTCCTTTAAGAAAAATGATCGTGAAATAATTTTTCTTTAGATAGAATAAAGAACTTGGGGTGATTTGCTACCTGGCTCCAAATTTTGACCCTGTTACTGCAAACAACATTTCAATTTTGTTTGCAGATTTTGATGAAAAATTCTTAGCTGGCCAAGCCCTGGTATTCTTTGCCGCTGGATTCGAAACCTCTGCCACGACCATCAGTAACACATTTTACGAATTAGCTTTAAACCCTGATATTCAAAATAAGCTTAGGGCGGAAATTCAGGAGGAAATAAAAAATAATGATGGAAAGTTGACGTACGATGGCATTAAAAAGATGAAATACTTGGATATGGTTATGAAAGGTTGGTACAGAAATTGTGGAAAATATATTTTTATAACTTTATCGATTATTTAATTTTCAGAAACTTTACGGAAATATCCTCCGGGTAGTGTTCTAGTAAGAAAATCAGGCGCGTCTTATACCTTCTCCGCCAAGAAAGTTCAAATTCCAAAGGACGTCACAATTATGATTCCAGTCTGGGCGATTCAACGAGATCCGAAAATTTATCCCGATCCCGAAAAGTACGATCCAGAGCGTTTCAGCGAGGAAAACGAAAAGAGCAGACACCCCATGAATTATTTACCATTCGGGGATGGTCCTCATAATTGCATTGGTAAAAAAAATTTGTAAAAAAATTTTTTTCTCCAAAATGTATATGATACTGAATATATTTTACAGGCTCTCGATTCGCAAATTATCAAACGAAAATTGGTATCATCGTCGTTATTAATAAGTTCAAATTAGAGGTTTGCGACAAAACGTGCATCCCCTATATAGTAGAGCCCAGATCGCTCGTACCATCGCCTATCGGAGGAATTCATTTGAAATTGTCCAAAATATAGATCGTTGATTCGATTTGTCAAAATATTGGCATTGTTAATATTTTTTACATAGTAATCTGTAAAAAACATTTGTAAGACAAACATTGATAAAACAGTAAAACTACAACCATTAACACATGTTAACATTTCCTTCTCATTTAAAAATTTATCCGAACTAGCAATCGCCCCTGCAGCAACCGCTACTCGTCGTACTCGTGAGCTCGGTTGGTGGCATCTACTCGTGGCACTATAGCTCTTCATACTATGATCGTGCTGTTCGCTACGTATATTATGAATGATGATTCAGTGTTTAGTGCGCAATTGCCGAGGCGAGTTCTCTCATTCAAGTTCTCGGCCGGATGTCTGTAACGTGCTGTCCAAGCGTCGTTGTCGCTGCTGCATTGCTGCTATAGTAAACATTGAAAGTTAGTATTATAGAGAATAAGAAATAAATGTCAGTACTTCTATCGGTTATTAGATGAATTTTAGGTTTGTTTCGAATGAAGTACGAGTTATGTCATTTCGTTTGATTGCGATAGTTATGTAATCCACGTGTGTCAAGCGCACACATATAACGTGTAATTATTATCTCGATATCAATTATGAAGCGTGATTGGGAGAGTGACTCAGAGCATTTGACTGATTAATGTAGTATATCGGTACGCATGATTTCGATGTTATGTGAAATATAAAAAGTATAAGTGAGCCTGCAAAGATAAGATTTTAAGTTTGACAATTCATGCGCGGGTTCAATAAATTGAAGGATGACATGATGCTTGCTAAGTTATTTTTAAGAGTAATAATTGATCAAATAAAAGTGTAATGAAAATATGACGTTGCTAAATTCATCCGATAAATGTTCCAGGATGACTGGAATGGTATCTCAAATTTTGCTGGCGATCATCCTGGGATTGCTGGCCTATGTGTATCTGTCATGGTTGAAGACGAAAAATTTCTGGAAGAAACTTGGCGTCAAGGGCCCCACACCCTTGCCGCTGGTCGGCAACTACAAGGACGCCATCCTGGGCAAGATGCACTTCGCCCTGATCATCAAAAAATACTACGACGAGTATAAACAGGAGCCGTTCGTTGGCACGTTCGGGCGCAACACGCCTATGCTGATAGTGCGTGACCCCGATCTCATCAAAGACGTGCTGATCAAGGACTTCAGCAGCTTTCCCGATCGGGGCCTGGTCTCGAGCGAGTCCGACGACCCCTTCAGTCAGAATCTGCTGAATCTTGAGCACAAGCGCTGGCGACCGCTCAGAAACAAGCTCGCCCCAGTCTTCAGCTCGGGAAAATTGAAGGACATGTTTTACCTGATCACCGACTGCTCGAAACTCTTCGAGAAGTACGTGGAGAGGGTGGCGGAGAGCGGCGAGTCCATAGAGTGTCGCGAGCTCACGGCCAAGTACACCACAGATGCCATCGGTGTATGCGCTTTTGGCTTGAACACTAATTCATTAGGTGATGAAGATGGTGGCTTCAGAAAAGCCGGTCGCGATCTCATGTCCAATGGTACGAAAAACGTCCTCAGGCGGATGTTGCGCGAGTGGGCCCCAAAATTGTACGGACTTTTACGGCCACTCGTGTACAATGGAGCCCTCGACTTTTTCGTCGACTCGATGAAGGCGACCATGGAGCATCGAACGAACAGTAAGGAGAGACGGAACGACTTCGTTGACCTGTTGATGGATCTGAAGAACGAAAAGTTCAACGATTTTGGTGAGTTACAGTTATCGATAATACTTCTGTCAATTTTTTTCAGCCATGTATTGAAAGAATCATCTTTTTGCAGAAATGACAGACTCCCTACTGATAGCTCAGACGCTCATATTTTTCCTCGCTGGCTTTGAGACTTCGTCAACGACTATAAGCAATGCATTGTACGAGCTGGCACTTAATCAAGAGATACAAGACAAGCTCAGACAGGAAATAAGGGATACCCTCGAAAGGGATGGTCAGTTTACTTACGATAATATCAAGCACATGAAGTATTTGGATCAAGTAGTCAAAGGTAAAGTTTTTAAAATACCTGTAACAATTCAAAGTATTCAAAGTATTTTCGTTATCGCATTTAGAAACTTTGAGAAAGTATCCACCGGGCAGCTTTTTAATTAGAGCTGCTGCGACTTCATACACCTTCAATGGTACTGACGTCACAATACCGAAAGATACACGAGTGATGCTGCCCGTCTGGGCCATACACAACGATGCGGACATTTATCCCGAGCCCGAAAAGTTCGATCCCGAACGGTTCACCGAGGAAAATCAAAAGAGCAGGCATTCGATGAATTATTTGCCTTTCGGCGATGGACCGCACAATTGCATTGGTAATAATGATGAAAAATCTAATTTACAAGATTTAATACAATTATGATCTATTTTTTTATTTACATTTTGAATTTAAAGGTCTGAGATTCGCCAATTATCAAACGAAAATCGGAATAGCCACTCTGATCAAGAGTTTCCGTGTGAATCCGTGCAGCGAGACGTGCATACCTTATCGCGTTCATCCAAGGTCATTCATTCCAGCTCCGATAGGAGGGATAGTTTTGAAATTTTCCAAAGTATGAAAGTATTACGAAGGATAGTCAAATTTTCGTTAATGATTATAGATAACTAGAATGCAGTTTAAATTAGAAAAATCGTTTAAACTTAAATCCATCATTTTTTTATATAATTACAATTGTTATTAATTTTTTTAAGCACACAAATGGCTGTGTAAGGTATTTACTTCATTGTTGTTTACTTTATTGATACTCGTTGTTAATGGTAGCTTTTTAATATAATTCATCAAATCTACTTGCAATTTTATATCAGATTTCAATATTCTCAGTCAAATTCAGTTCAAATTCAGGTAATAAATTTTAAAAATATTTTTGCTTTGAATCCACGTAACTGAAAAAACTATTGTACATATAAATTTAAAATATTAAACTGTTCATCATCTTGAGCTTATCACGCTCTTGAAATGTCAATATGTATTATATACTGTCTCTTACGTACGTAATCGATGAAAATATTAAATATCAATAGAGTTAAATTAGATGCTTTTGTGTTTGAATTTTTGCCAACAAATGAATTTTCGTGAGAAATAAGAGAGCTCAATGAATCAGAGAATGCTCAAAAGAAATGGTAATTCAAGATGTTTTAAAATTCACTAACATTAATTTTCCTGTTTTTAGCGATTTTTCTTTTACACTTATGTTATGAAAATATTAAGCACTTTTAAATTACTTAAAAATGACAATATATAACATGTTAAAAAATTTTTGACCTGTCTTCAGATTGATTATACAACTGTAAGCCTTCGCCGCTAGATGGCAAGTAGCATTATTTGTGAATCTGCAAGTGTGAAAGTAAAATAATTATATATAAATATAAGTCATTTGCTAAGTTTACAATCAAGTATACCAATTGTCGCTAAGTTACCAATAATCATTTTCTTACGAAATCCCGGAAAAGTGATTCCAAGTTGCCAATTACACAAGATAGAGAATGAATTTAAGTCGCGATACAAACCGCTATAGTAACGGCGCCGCTATAGAAGAGCTAATCACGATGGCAAGCGATCGCTAAAAGATGAACAATACGAGAGAGCAAGAAAGATTCGTAAAAGTGTTCGGTATGTATACAAGTTTTCGGTAGTCCAAATTACAGTGGGATGAAAGAAAAAGTTCTAGGTTTAGGTCTATCTAAAATCAAAATAAATTGTTGGAAAAATAACGACTGCTGCATGAATAAGTGGCCTTATAATATATTTATGGCAATGTTAATTTGAGCAAATACCAGAATTATTTGAAATCGCAGATTATGCTATTTCTCGTCGATACATTGGCAGTATACCCGGACATAGTCGACGGAGAATTCAAGGAAGGCCTAACGATTAGAAAAATCGATCCCCCTAAATGTTCACCTTCTGAATAAAAGGAATTCCTCTTTCCTCCAAAATAGCCGCAATTGAAAATTAATATGGCCTCTGATACTGAAGATATTCTTAATGCCATCGAAGAGAATGATCAGATCCGAATTTTGACGATAATAATTTTTAAAATTCAACTTTATTTTTCAATAAATGAGTATCTTTTTAAAAAGGTGTATTTTCATCTGTGTTCATGTGTATTTTTTCCTGTGTGGAGGCTTGCCTCCCCTCCCCCAATTCCCCAGTGCAGACTTCGCCCCCTTGACCACTCCACGCCCGGCATCGGACTCACCTTAGCTCGTGCACCCGCAGTTTGCACCTATACAAAACAGATTCCAGTAATTCCCGAGTGACCCAGCTGAGTCGTTTCCTGCATGATTTCTCATTTTTATTCGGTTGTTTACTTTAAGTACTTTCCTTTTTTTCATTACACTACAGAGCAACATCCAAATCTTCTATAAAAGCGCGGGACTATGAATATCGTAATCTCCCCCATTTACGTCTCAATCAAAAATTGATCTGAACTAGTAATTGCCCCTGTAGCAGCCGCTACTTCTTGTACTTGTGCGCTTGGGTGGTGGTATCGACTCGCGGCATTCGCTGTTCATACTGTTATGGTTGGTTTTAATCATCTATTTGCTTAATGAATTTACTTTCACTTTACTGACACTTGCAGATTAATTATGTACATTTACTTTAGCTTTACAATGACTCTACTTTAACTGTAACAAGTGATAGACGCGTTGATGCTAACTGAAAATTCGACCAAGTGTCGATATTTTTTAGATTCGTTTTGGCTAAGTCGCGATAAGTAATTTTGAATTGGAGCCGATATAGCTTCGGCCTAGTTTGAGTTTAGGACAGCTCTGTCGCGACGCTGGTTTTTGGCTCAGTATATATACTAGATTTTTCGGCAGATCTTCCACTTTTCCTAGCCCAGTGAACCGCTAGCATGTGTTCAGCAGAGATGTCACTCTACGCTTGGGTTCAGATTCGTGCTGGGTCAAGTACCTTACGTCTAATCGGCGCATCCTGATAAAGCCCGCAAGACGCTCAAAGTATACCGGCAAATAGATTCGTTCGTCCATGCTCGCGATCGCACTTGGCTCCCTGTAAGACCTACGATCTTTGTCAGCGACCGTTCGCCGCCTCTCGGATTTTGCTCCAGCTTCTAGTCCATATCCACGTTTGTCGTTGATTGCATGTACTCGAGCCGTAATGGCCGTTGACATATGTGTGCATGTGATCTTCTACGAATCTGCATGTCCCTTGGCTAATGAGTTACTTACGCGATACAACGGTTTTCGCGTTTCAGTTCGCGCGCGCGTCTTCACACCCGCAATTATAGTGTTCAGCAGTCTCCCGCACGAGCAAGCCGGCCTGTGTGTGCGTGTGTGTGTGTGCTCTCGCTTACGTGCGCTCGCAAATATCCATACCGAGGTGTCTATGTGTGTGTGTGTGTGTGTGCTCTTGTTGACGCGCGCACAAACAACCATGCCGAGGTATCGACGTGTGCGCTCTCGCTTACGCCCGCACACACTCATACCGGAATTATGTCTATGTACGCGCTTACGCGTACTTTTACCGCGACCCGCCGTCTGCGCGAAATTTAGCCATAGGTATATGGCCGATTCTCTGTGAAATCGATTGGTCAAAAAAATTTTTTTTCTGCAAATATGAAAAACTTGTTGTATTTGATGTCAGAAATGTCCCCAAATTTTATTAGAATTTTTGGGGCCTTCTATGACACTTTTTCAGAGGCCCAAAGTTGGCCATTTTAGGGTTTTTTTGAAATTCATGAAAAATCACAAATATTAAAATAATTCCTGGATTAAAGTAGAATGATTCAAAAGTAAAAGTGCCCAGCAACTTTTTTGTTGGAAATTGTCCAAATTTTCAGAAAAAAAATATGCCAAAGTGATTGGAACAATCTAGGTAAGTGTAAAGCAAAAAAACTGCCAAAGGGACATAAATGATGAAATCTAATCGAGTTCGAACCGGACTTTCATTTCCTAAACTATGTAAAAAGCTTCCCAAAGATGTCAACTACTGCCTGATAAAGTTTTGTAATGGGTCTTAAAGTTTAACGCAATGTAGACAACAATGTGTGGCGAAAAACATGCAAAAAAGGTCAAAAATAGGCCCAAAATGCCTAAAATCACCAAAAACAGCCATTTTCAGGCCTTTTTTGCATGTTTTTCGCCACACATTGTTGTCTACATTGCGTTAAACTTTAAGACCCATTACAAAACTTTATCAGGCATTAGTTGACATCTTTGGGAAGCTTTTTACATAGTTTAGGAAATGAAAGTCCGGTTCGAACTCGAGTAGATTTCTTGTTTTATGTTTTTTTTTTATGTTTTCCCACTATGCTCTCTTTGGGTGGCTCCAATCACTTTGGCATATTTTTTTTCTGAAAATTTGGACAATTTCCAACAAAAAAGTTGCTGGGCACTTTTACTTTTGAATCATTCTACTTTAATCCAGGAATTATTTTAATATTTGTGATTTTTCATGAATTTCAAAAAAACCCTAAAATGGCCAACTTTGGGCCTCTGAAAAAGTGTCATAGAAGGCCCCAAAAATTCTAATAAAATTTGGGGACATTTCTGACATCAAATACAACAAGTTTTTCATATTTGCAGAAAAAAAATTTTTTTGACCAATCGATTTCACAGAGAATCGGCCATATATATACGTGTATACCGGTCCGTTATGGGCCAGCCGCAACAATACTATACTCTTGCTGTTTGCCATGTATATTTTAATGATAATTCAGTGTTTAGTGCGCAATTGCCGAGACGAGTTCTCTCATTCAAGTTCTCGGCCGGATGTCTGTAACGTGCTGTCCAAGCGTCGTCGTCTCCGCTGCATCGCTGTATTATAGTAAACATTGAAAAGTTAGTATCGTAGAAAATAAGAAATCGATGTCTGTTTTTCTATCGGTTACTACATGGATATGTCATTTCGTTCGGTTGCGATAGTTAAGTAATCCACAGCAATAGAAATATCGTCCGCTTGTCAACAACGGGACCAAATCGGACTTGTCTCGGCTGTAGGAACAGCCCCGTTTTTGATAAACGGACGATGTTTCAATCAGTGCACGTTTGTCGAGTGCACACGCATGACGTGTAATTATTATCTCAATATCAATTATAAAGCGTGATTGCGAGATTGACTCAAAACAGCTGTTGACTGATATGTAGAATATCGCGTCGGCACATACATGCTTTTTGTGTTATGTGAAATATTTGCTTGTTGCCGAAAAGTATAAGTGTGACTGAAAAGATAAGCATTTGAGTTTGACAATTCATGCGCGGGTTGAGTATAATGTTGGATGGCACGATTGTATGAAAATAAATAAGTGAACTCAAATGTTTATTGTCAAAATCAAACTCTCGTTAAGCTCGAACGATAAAGATCTGCCTCGTTTTCGTTACCATTGTTGCGCCTTCTCTCTCGTTGTCATGGAGATCTTTTTTGAATTGATTCATTCTTTTGCTTTACATTGAGTAAAATAGGAACGTATCACGATTTGAATATTCAATATTCGAGCTATCTTTGTTGCATCATTTGACCGAAATGATCAATGATGATTTCAAATACCATGTGCTCTTTTTTGACTCATTTACATGCGCATGGCTGCTTCATTTTACATGCCGAGTTGGCCAAGCTAAAATAATGCCTACGCTCTACCTTCGCAAAAGTTTGTGAATATTATCCCTTTCGAAGATATCCAAAATATGCACATGCAAAAAATGGCAGCGTCGAGCTTTCACTTTAAACTCTCATAGTTTAATAAGTGGCATCATTTTTAACCCCGCACTAATGCCAAAGCAAATAATGATGTCTTCCAGGCAGGGCACGGCATCAGTAGTGTGAAAAGGCTCGAAGATTAATTCATCAAAGGTAACGAAATTGAGAAGAAATGACAAAACGGACAAAACCTAGATTTAAAATAATTAATAAATTATTAGAACAAAACGTAGAACTTAATGATAACATAATTCAAACTGTAACAACGATGCTTGCTAAATTATTTTTAAGAGTAATATTTGATCAAATAAATGCGCAATGAGAATATATCGTTGCTAAATTTGTCCGATAAATTTTCCAGGATGACTCAAATTTTGCTGGCGATCATCCTGGGGTTGTTGGCCTACGTGTATCTGTCATGGCTGAAGACGAAAAATTTTTGGAAGAAACTCGGTGTAAAGGGTCCGACACCCTTGCCGCTGGTCGGCAACTACAAGGACGCCATCCTGGGCAAGATGCATTCCAGCCTGATTATGCAAAAGTACTATGACGAGTATAAGGAGGAACCGTTCGTCGGCACGTTCGGCCGTAACATGCCCATGCTCATAATGCGCGATCCTGACCTCATGAAGGACGTCCTTATCAAGGACTTCAGCAGCTTTCCCGATCGGGGCCTGATTTCGAGAGAGTCCAATGACCCTTTCAGTCAGAATCTGCTGAATCTCAAGCACAATCGCTGGCGACCTTTGAGGAACAAACTTGCCCCGGTCTTCAGCTCGGGAAAATTGAAGGACATGTTTTACCTGATCATCGACTGTTCGAAAATCTTCGGGAAGTACGTGGAGAGGGTGGCGGAAACCGGCGAGCCCATAGAGTGTATCGAGCTCACGGCAAAGTACACCACCGACGCGATCGGCGTCTGCGCCTTCGGTCTTAACACCAATTCGCTCGGCGACGAGGACAGCGGATTCAGAAAAGCCGGTCGCGATCTCATGTCCAGCGGCACGAGGAATGTCCTCAGGCGAATGCTGCGCGAGTATGTGCCGAAATTGTACGGTCTTGTATGGCCACTCGTGTATAATGGAGCCCTCGACTTTTTTTTTGACTCGATGAAGGCGACCATGGAATACAGGAAGAACAGCAAGGAGAGACGAAACGACTTCGTCGATTTGCTGATGGATTTGAGGAACGAAAAGTTCAACGATTTCGGTGAGTTATAAGCATCAATGATACTTGTATTAATTTTTCTTTCAGCCAAATATTGAAAGAATGATCTTTATGCAGAAATGACAGACTCCCTGCTGATAGCTCAGACGCTCATATTTTTCCTCGCTGGCTTTGAGACTTCGTCAACGACTATAAGCAATGCATTGTACGAGCTGGCACTTAATCAAGAGATTCAAGACAAGCTCAGACAGGAAATAAGGGATACCCTCGAAAGGGATGGTCAGTTTACTTACGATAATATCAAGCAAATGAAGTATTTGGATCAAGTAGTCAAAGGTAAAGCTTTTAAAATACCTGTAATAATTCAAAGTATCTACATACTATCTATATTTGTTATCGCATTCAGAAACTTTGAGAAAGTATCCACCGGGCAGCTTTTTAATCAGAGCTGCTGCGACTTCTTACACCTTCAAAGGCACTGACGTCACAATACCGAAAGATACTCGAATAATGTTTCCGGTCTGGGCCATACACAACGATGCGGACATTTACCCCGATCCCGAAAAGTTCGATCCCGAACGGTTCACCGAGGAAAATCAAAAGAGCAGGCATCCGATGAATTATTTGCCTTTCGGCGATGGACCGCACAATTGCATTGGTAATAATGATGAAAAATCTAATTTACAAGATTTAATACAATTATGATCAATTTTTTTATTTACATTTTGAATTCGAAGGTCTGAGATTCGCCAATTTACAAACGAAAATTGGAATAGCTACTCTGATCAAGAGTTTCCGCGTGAATCCGTGCAGCGAGACGTGCATACCATATCGTGTTCATCCAAGGTCATTCATTCCAGCTCCGATAGGAGGGATAGTTTTGAAATTTTCCAAAGTATAAAAGTATTATGAAGGATAGTCAAATTATTGTTAATGATAATATAGATAACTAGAACCAAGTTCGAATTAGAAAAATCGTTTAATCTTAAATCCATAAATATTAAATATTAAATAAATAAATATTAAATAAATATTAAAAATTAATATTATTATTAATATTAATTTATTAATATTATTATTATTTAATAAATATTAAATATTAAATATTAAATATTAAATCCATCATTTTTTTACATTATTACATTCGTTATCAATTTTTTTGCGGCCAGCATACTAATTTGTACAAGCATACACACGATTTTTTAGGTTTTTCGGCGCGTTAAGATGAACAAAGCGAAAGAGCAAGAATGAAGTGTCATATAGCTATAGTCATTCTAACGTTCCTTTTTTTGCCAAAAACTATCCACCAAACGTTTAGCATTTTAACTACCAAGCTGCACAAGAAATGCAAGAAAGTTCAACCATATACATTAATTTTGATACAAATGTGAACAAAAAAGATTTTTTATTAAATCATTATAATTAAAAATTTACGTTTAATACTGATTCATTTTTGAGTAAATTTAATCATTATTAAAGTCAGCCTCCGCCGCTAGATGACGAGAGCCCCCAATCTGCAAGTGGCAAAATGCAAATAATTGTATAAGTACAAGCACAGTTTTATAATTCTTTTAATTATATTGACAAGTTCGTTTTCAAAACATTTTTTAACGAGTCTATAGAAACAAACCCATTATACCGATCAAAGTAATATTGGACCAACACAACATTCTCGTTTTCGCATATTGCATCCGAAAAAGCAAGACGAGTAATTATTGTTCTTGCTCACAAGCTCGTCCATGAGCTCATCAAAACCATATTTAATTCCGAGCTATTAGCCCAGACGAAACAAAGAAGCGCATACGCGGTAGCAGCCAGTTACACCCGTTTTTTCGTCGCATTTATATCTTTTCTTCAAAAACTCCTAAAAAAAGGGCGAACCTTTCCCAGTTATTAGGCCTCACAAAAGACACACGAAAAACACAATGTTGCGGGTTGTCGAGAGAATCTTCCAAAAATCACGTAAGCCCGTGTTATGCTTAAATACAGAATTACCAAAGCGCCGATAGTCAAATGATATAAGCCGACGAACAACACAGAGAAGGGAGAGAGACATCGCTCGGACTTCTCGCGCGGGCTGCACCCAGTAATCGTCAAAATTCATAGTCTCTCTAGCAAGAGGAGAGAGATACATGCTAAATACTAGGCTGGCTTCCATACGTACATATATAGCGGGCCTCTCTCTCTCTCTCTCTCTCTCTGCGTCGAGAGAGATCTGTCTAGCATTTGTCTGCGCTATGCGCCGGCAGCTAGAGCTCCAACTGACTCTGCAGCTCGTGCACTGCAGGATGATGACTGCCCTTTTTTTCGTGCGCGATAATGATCGAGTCCGCCGACGCACGCATACATACATTGTATATTGGGTATCCTCGCGCGCGATGATGATGATGACGACGCTGGTATGTCCCCAAGGCGCTTCTTTCAGTCCAAGGCCTGCTCCGCTGGTGCGAGGGCGGTCATTACCGCGTGCCGTCTTGAAATATATCAACCGATTCTCTCTCTCTCTCTCTTCGCCGTTGCTTCTCTTTGCAGTCAGCAGATATATGTATTCGTAAAAACAGAGAGAGCAGCTTTTTATAGCCCATCGCGCCCTTCGGACGCGGCGCGAGACGCCCGCCGTATACGGCATTTAAGTATATAGAGGAATTTTGAGGAATGCCTTCGAAGCCAGCTGTATGGTAAGGAGGTTCCAGGCGCGCGCATGAAGTTGTCATATAGCTGTGGGTCATTGTTGTTTTGAGAAATGGAAAGTAGCGGGTCGGCGACGGTAAGTCTGTGCAGTACTCTTGCCGCGCATCGACAGAATCGCACGATTTTCGATCGTTACAAACAGTTCTTTCGATTCGCAAAAGTGCGCGAGCTCAAAAAAAAATAACGCTTAGTTTCGCGAGCTTTTATTCGCATGCCCCGCGGAAACATAAAAAAATAGCTCGCCGATCGCGTCTGCGAGGCGAAGATCGCGCGCCGCAATAATCGCTATATGTGGTTGATGCGATTTCGAATGCCGAATCGTTTTGGCTCGTCAAAAGCGCAGCGTATATACACTACTGACAATTACGCAGTCACACAGTTTCGCTGCGAGCTAGTACGAATGTTACGCGCGTGTAGGGTTATAAAATAACACGCGGTTATTGTATAAATCAACATTGCTCGCGCGCCAGGCGGAAAACGAAATTGTTGTGCCGCTCGGTAAAAGAACCGAGAGCACGAGAGCTCTAAGTTGATTTATGTTCTCGCGCGAGGCTTTATGACAACTCTCCGAGAGTTGCAAGATTAATGGAGCGATCCGATTTTTTTTCTCTTTCGTTTTCGAACTTTATATGTAATATTGTATACTTTTCGCCGAGGAATTAATTGACACTCTGCCACGCGCTCGTCGATCCTCCAGCGATCTCTACGTACACGTGTGTGTCTGTGTGTATAGCAATTTTGCACGTGCCGTCCGCGGGTATATTTAAAATCGAATTAAAATTTTTTCGTAATTTTGATGTATACGAGGACGCGGGCGTTTCATCAACGTTTATATGCAGTTTTACATTCTTTCGTTCGTTTCTCGATTTAGATCGAGTAAAAATTCTTTTGAAAAATACCAAATGGTGTACTAAATTGTTAAAAAAATCTTCAAATTCAATGCAGATTTTAATGTTAAATAAGAAATCAAAAAAAAAGTAACTGATGATGAATAATATTTACCATCTTTTACATAAAATTTTCGTTGAAAATTAATTCATAATGTACTGAATTTTGTTCGTTCATAAGCTGTACAAAAGATACACAAAAGTTCAACCATATACATTCATTGTAATGTAAAAGTGCACAAAAAAGATTTAATAAAAATTAAACTTTTATACTGATTTATCTTTGAGTAAATTTTATCATTATTAAAGCCAGCCTCCACCGCTAGATGGCGAGAGACCTTCATCTACAAATCTGCAAGTAACAAAATACAAATAATTGTCTAAGTACAAAAATAGTTTTGGAGCAATTTTAGTATTAAAGATAGTGTGATCCTTAAATTCATTATAATCAAGTAACTAGTATTAATAATCTAAACAATCTTCAATGAACATAAGCAACATAATCACACGTGGACATTTATGATCCCACACGCCGCAGTAAAAAGTAACGATTCAATCATTCGTTGTCGTCGTCGTCGTCGTGGCAGTGCGAATCCTGCGATCTTTTTCCCTCCTTTCTTAATTAGACGCGAGAGCATAAAATGTCGTTTGCAAAATTTCGAGAGATGCTCGCCCATCAGCTCTGATCCTCTGCTCCGCTGTGGTGTACGGTCTCCGTTGTATATATATAACTACGCACATTTATAAAACGGCGTGGCGCAGGCGTAAAAAAGACATCCTGCTGACAGGTTTCGTGCCGCACGTTTATGAACACACACACATCTCTCGACGAGAGCTCTGGACCTCTTTAACCGCGGCTATAATTGAAATTAATGGTAATAGTCTCTCTGCGGCAAAAATGAGGAAGCCTCCCTCGCCTCCGCATCGACCAGCAGCATCAGGCAGCAGGAGGACATGTCACCGCCAATTAATGAAACTGTATACATACACACGTATATACAAGACGGTTGACGGAGCTCACCTGCGAGCGAGATCTTGGCATCTTATTTATTTTCGATTTCTTTTTTTTTGTCGTCGTCCGCCTCGTCGATATGGGTGGGATATGGCTGCGAGGATGATTTTTCCGATTCGATTCGAGTAAGAAGTTCAGCGGTCGATTTACGATAAGTCAGACGATGAATCAGAGAGAGAAAGACGAAAGTCGAGCCCTTATCGTCGATTGCGGAAAAAGTCGACTGATGTATAAAGTCGCGTGATTTGTACCTCGATCCAAAGTAAAAACTTTCCATAAATGCACGAGACTATACGGACTACTTTATCGCGCGGGCACGTAAAATAATGTTGCCGCGCGGCTCGATCATTAGCCGCGATGCAGCGAGTAACGCACTTCACCTCCATGTCTTGTACCGAAGGAAAAACCAGCCAATAATATGCATACGATATGTTTATTGTAGGTATAGATACAATTATATTGATCGAGCGAATCAGTCGGTGCAAAGAGCGCGAGGATCTTTTCCAGCGTTACATATTATAACGAGACGAGAGATTTTTTGCCCACCCCGCGCTCACATCTCGACGCACTCCATCAACTCTGAAAATCACCGCGCATATATGTATGAATTTAGCTTTCGAATTTATAAGCTCGGCATAACTCTCGCGAGTAATTAGGAGTAAAAATTGCATAATTACGGGCATTCCTACGTTACTCTAGTGCTACTGCATCGCCGCTCTAATAAGGGCCAGTGCGCGGAGCGTAATCCGGTATAAATTGAAGCCGGGTTAATGAAAAGCCGTATCATATGCATTTCTCATACGAGTCGGTAATTACTCATACATATATTTACGTTTTTCAGCATGAGCTTTGATCAATGATTTACGCTTAACGCGCGAGTTGCGTTTATACGGTCGTTGTGGGTTGCGCGCGGCCTGTGCTCGCATGCTGACAGAGAGAGAGAAAAAAAAAAAACAAAAAATTAATATGGTAACAGACTTGGAACGATTCGTACGATATTTCCACACGCGTTCCGCGAGTGATAAAACTCGAATCAATGCTGTATTCGTTTATATGTTACACTATGTTGTACAAATGGCTCAAGTGAAAATCTAATTATTACCCGCATGCCTCATATCGAAGTCGCGATCCTTCTTTTGGCCAGCGCTCGAACGCCGCTAAAGCAGCGGCACGCATACGCTCGAAGCTCGCAGTATATGGCTAATTTAACTATCTGTATACGAATGCGAGTGCGTTACATGTATAACGCAGCCGAAGCGTCCAGTATGGCGGCGGTTTGCTGCAGCTTCGGAAATCTTTCAGCGAGATCCG